TGGTGAGGCAAAAGCTATGGTGACTCTTCCACAACAGGCAGTGTTCACATATGAGTCTGATAGTTCTGTTCTTTAGTTTCAACCAGTTTGCATAGTACTGGAGTTAGGCTTTGTGACTGGAGTCCCAGGGGGGCCATGCTGAGATTGCTTAATTAGGGCAAAATGCAAAGAATGGGCAGACAATCCTCTAAACTGGTGGTTATTCTAATACTTAGATTCACCAAGCCAGCAAAAACACAGCTTCTACAATACCTTACTGGTTAGCCAGAAGCCAGAAACACAGTTCCCTTAAAGCAACCCAGGCTTGAGCTCCCATCCAGACAGCAGAGTCAAATATGATAAGGATTACTGAAAATCTTGTTCATCATATAAAAAGTTCTACCAATCCCAAAGGATTGGACACACTAGGTTAATGAATATTTAAGATCTTACACAAACGCATGTTTACAGCCAAGTCTTATTAATGAAACTAAGATTTATTAAAAATAAAAGAGAGATTATTGGTTAAAAGATCATTATGCATACAGACATGAATATAGTTCTTAGGTAATTTTCATAGTAGAGATTGTGAGCTTCAGCATTGCAAAGAGTCCATTCCAGAATCAGTTCATTAGTTACAGTCCAATGTTCAATATCAGGGTAATCCAGATGGGACTGGAGACCTCAGTCTTGACACTCAGACTTCCCCTGATGAAGATTAAGCAGATCTGAGATGAAAGGATCAGGGCCCAAGAGTTTTTATAAATCCCTGGCAGGCTGTTGTCAGCCTCTTGACAGCAGGTGTTCCTTGGGTGAAGATTAGCGGTTTTGAAGTAGCCTCCAATTTCCTAAGCATCACTGGTAATTAGCTACATGGATTAACATAAGGCAATTGCCTACCTCCCACCATTTACAGGTAAAAAGAAAAGGAGTACTTGTGGCACCTTAGAGACTAACAAATTTATTTGAGCATAAGCTTTCGTGAGCTACAGCTCACTTCATCGGATGCATTCAGTGGAAAATACAGTGGGGAGATTTATATACATAGAGAACATGAAACAATGGGTGTTACCATACACACTGTAAAAAGAGAGATCACTTAAGGTGAGATATTACCAGCAGGAGAGCCGGGGGTGGAGGTGGGGAACTTTTGTAGTGATAATCAAGGTGGGCCATTTCCAGCAGTTGACAAGAACGTCTGAGGAACAGTGGGGGATGGAGGGGGGGAATAAACATGGGGAAATAGTTTACTTTGTGTAATGACCCATCCACTCCCAGTCTCTATTCAAGCCTAAGTTAACTGTATCCAGTTTGCAAATTAATTCCAATTCAGCAGTCTCTCATTGGAGTCTGTTTTTGAAGTTTTTTTGTTGAAGAATTACAACTTTTAGGTCGGTAATCGAGTGACCAAAGAGATTGAAGTGTTCTCCGACTGGCTTTTGAATGTTGTAATTCTTGACATCTGATTTGTGTCCATTTATTCTTTTACGTAGAGACTGTCCAGTTTGACCAATGTACATGGCAGAGGGGCATTGCTGGCACATGATGGCATGTATCACATTGGTAGATGTGCAGGTGAACGAGTCTCTGATAGTGTGGCTGATGTGATTAGGCCCTATGATGATGTCCCCTGAATAGATATGTGGACACAGTTGGCAACGGGCTTTGTTGCAAGGATACGTTCCTGGGTTAGAGGTTCTGTGGGGTGGTGTGTGGTTGCTGGTGAGTATTTGCTTCAGGTTGGCGGGCTGTCTGTAAGCAAGGACTGGCCTGTCTCCCAAGATCTGTGAGAATGATGGGTTGTCCTTCAGGATAGGCTGTAGATCCTTGATGATGCATTGGAGAGGTTTTAGTTGGGGGCTGAACGTGATGGCTAGTGGCATTCTGTTACTTTCTTTGTTGGGCCTGTCCTGTAGTAGGTGACTTCTGGGTACTCTTCTGGCTCTGTCAATCTGTTTCTTCACTTCAGCAGGTGGGCATTGTAGTTGTAAGAATGCTTGATAGAGATCTTGTAGGTGTTTGTCTCTGTCTGAGGGGTTGGAGCAAATGCGATTGTATCGTAGAGCTTGGCTGTAGACAATGGATCGTGTGGTGTGGTCTGGATGAAAGCTGGAGGCATGTAGGTAGGAATAGCGGTCAGTAGGTTTCCGGTATAGGGTGATGTTTATGTGACCATCCCTTATTAGCACCATAGTGTCCAGGAAGTGGATCTCTTGTGTGGACTGGTCCAGGCTGAGGTTGATGGTGAAATGGAAATTGTTGAAATCTTACTACATACTTCAAAGAGAAATGAAGATAGTGATATCATTACATGCACAGTTCATTCAAATGTTAACATCTCCTTGTGATCTCTGAATTAACAGAATACAGCGATAGACAGGAACTGTTTGGTTACACTGTCAACCTCTAACAATACATATGTGAAATATATACCTGAAATTCATACCCTACTTTATTCCTGATTAATTTTTATGTATAGACAAGCCCACCTGTTTGACAGAGGGATTCTTTTGGTTGGCCCCTTTTACATGTTTCTTCAAGTGCTCAATGGCACGCCTACAATGGCAGATGGCTCTGGCTTCATTCTTTACATTCTTATCCTTCCATCTGTTTTTCTGGATAACTTTGGAGATGATTCTCCCATGCCCTCTCGAAATAGCCCCCCAGTGTTGAGCTCCATTAAAGCACAACAGCTCCTTTCTCAACAAATCAGTTGTAACGAGCCTCTGAATCCTCAGGCTTGTGGTATCAGCATTTCCCTGTTAGCAAACCAGAAGCTGTCTGTGTATGCTAGGTAGAGGAGCTGTTTGAGTATTTGGGCAAGAGTATGTCTACAGTGCAATTAAAAACCCACAGCTGGCCTGTGCCAGCTGACTCTGGCTAAGGGGCTGTTTAACTACCATGTAGATGTCCAGGCCCGGGGTGGAGCCCAAGCTCTAGGACCCTGCGAGGTGGGATGGTCCCAGAGCTGGGGCCGCAGTCCCAGCTCCAACATCTACACAAGTTGTTTTCAACCTGTGGTATGTCTAAGGTTGTCAGTGAAAGGTAGGCTAGCCAACCCTCCAAGATTGTCCTGGACTCTCCAGGAATTAAAAATTAATCTTTAATGAAAGATTATGTCATGTGATGAAACCTCCAGGAATATATCCAGCCACAACTGGCAACCCTAGCAAAAGGTGATTTCGAAAATGCATTCTGGTTCTCTGATCAATCAAAAATAGGTGAATACCCCCACCTACAGGTCAAAACCAGGAAGTGTTGTTGTTACCATAGAAGCCCACAGTTTAGTGCCCTTTCTCATGCTGCATCAAATGCTGTGCCAAACACACGCAGCATTTTTATTTGAATTCTGTTCAGTCAGTTTTCTGTCTAAGGCTCGGTCTACACTACAGAGTTAGGTCGATGTAAGGCACCAAAGGCATACGGCTTATGTCTGTATAGTTAGGGCGACGCAGTGTCTGTGTTGCCACTGCATTACTTACATGGGCTGCTGGCTAAAGCCCTGAAATTGACAAGAAAGTCTAGTAGGTTCCCTGCTGTGAACCCTGCACCTAGCTCACAGCTAAGGCTGTTGGCTCCAGCAAGAGCTTGGCTGTTCCCCGGGCTACCCGCTCCCAGCAGGCTGCTGCCCCGGTTCCCCTCTCCCTCCTGGGAGCCCTGTGGGCTCCCGCTGGGCTGCTGCCCAGGCTCCTCACTCCAAGCCCAGCTGCTGGGTGCTGAGAGCCAGGGCTCTCAGCTCCCCAGGGAGCTCCCAGAGCTGTAAGAGTGTGGCTGCTCTGAGCAATTTCACTGCTGACAGGCTCTGTGCTGTGAAATTGAGCGTGGGAGGAGTTCCCCATCCAGAGCGGATGGGGAACTACAACTGTGAGCCCCATGTGGCTGTCAGTGCCCCCCCCCACTCAACTGTAAGTGCCCCCCAATGCCCCACTTCAGTCAGTGCACTGCAAGTGCTCCTAGTGAGGATGGGCTCCACTGGCAGAAGGAGGACATTCATGTGGACACCAACAGCCCCTTGAATTACTGTGGTGATTGTAGGTCAATCTAAATTAAGTTGACCTAATTTTATAGTGTAGACAAGCCCTAAGGCTTCTATGGTAGGGGGTCCACGGACCACAATTTGAATTTCCAAAGGGGTCCGCACCTCCATTCAAAAAATTTTAAGGGTCTGCAAATGAAAAAAAGGTTGAAAACCACTGGTCCACACCGCAATGAAACAGCTCCTAAGCTGGAGCCCCACAAGCCTGAGTCAGCTGGCATGGGCCAGCCACAGATGTCTAACTGCAATGGAGACTTCCCCTTAGAACTTTGCTTCTTATGCCTTCACAGTGAACATGGAGAGGGGGTGATGGGGAATGGGGGCAGGGCGGTGGTCTGGGAACAGTGGGGGAACATTGGGGGGCAGTGAGGGGTGGGGGCAGTGAGGAAGATCTTTGGGGGGTACAGAAGGGGCTGGTGGTTTGAGTGAGAAGCTGTGAGGTGACTGTGGGAAGGAATGAGGGTGGAGAGGGAGTGAGAGGATCAGTCAGGGTGGGCCATCAGTTTGGGCCAGTTGGAGAGGATCAACGGGGACCGGGGCACATTAAGGGCAGTATGATCGGCCAGAATGCGGTGGGGGAAATGGGTAAGATTAATGAGGGTTGTGAGGGCAGTGGAAAACAGTGGGTTGTTGGGGTGGCAGTGCGGGGTTTATGGGGACAGTGGGGTGGATGATTACTGAGAGCTGGGGGTATATTGGGAGAGTGGGTAGTATGGGTGGGGGGGCAGTGGGGTATATGGGGGGTACAGTGGAGCAATGGCTACTATGCCGGGGGGGTCAGTGGGGTGCAGGTACACTAAGACAGTAGGTAGTATGGGAGGGGGGCATCAGTGGGGCAGGGAGGGGTGTGGGTGGGGTCCGTGATGTGCGGGGGGGCGGGGCTGGGTTGCCTCGTGCTCGGGGGCGGGGCCCGGTGGCCGGGGCGGGGTTTCCCTGGTGACGGGCGGGAGCGGCCTGGGGGCGGGGTCAAGCCGGCCTCTAACGGCGGCGGCTCGAGCCCCTGCGCTTCCGGCCCCGCCCCCTCCGGGTCCTGCCGCCTGCCGGGCCCCGCGATGTCCCTGGTGCGGGTGGCGCGGCCCCGCGCCCCGGGGAAGAAGCCGCCGAAAGCGAAGAAGAAGCCGCCGGCGGCCGAGCGGGACTGGGACGTGAGTGGAGCCCCCCGCCCGGTACAGGGGGGGAAACTGAGGCACGGGGGGGCCGCGCCCATCGCAGTCGGGGTGCGGGAGGCCTGGGGCCGCAGGGGGCCGGGGGACGCGGGCTCCTGCGCTGGTTGGGCACCGCGGGTGCGAGCGGCGGGGGGGCGGGCTCCGGAGAGGCGGGCAGACGAGCCCCGGGGCCCCGCCTCCCCCCAGCCCGCCCGGCAGAGCCCGCCCTGCCGCGCGTGCGAGTGGAGGCTGCCGTCCCCTGCCAGCCTGTGCCCGGCCCGGCGCTGATGGGCAGCCTGGCTCGGTTCCCCCTTCCGTGTCCTTTTCTTCCTGCGCCCGGTGGCTGCCCCCCGCTGATGAGCCCTCTCCCTTGAAGGGGCTGCGCCCCTGGCGTACCGAGAGCCGGGGCATCGCCTGTGGCCTCATCCTGGCCGCTGCCAGCCCTACACCACAAGGGTTTGTTGGCCAAGCTGTGTCTGTCTGGGGCGTGGAAACACCACAGCCACTCGCCAACCTAGCTACGCTGGCAAAGCCCCCCCCCACACCGGGGGTTGACTCCTGCGGGCATTTTGCACCAAAACAATTAAAAATCTGATGCCAAAAAAAGGTCCAGATGCAGCTGGTTGGGGCTCAGCCCAGTGGGGTTCTGCGTGTGGGTGGCTCGGCAGGTGGTCCCAGGTGCAGGGGGAGTGGGGCTCGGCGGGAGGGTCGAGTATGAGGGCGGCTGGATGCATGGCGGTTGGGCAGATGTGGGAGCAGCTTTCTGCACAGGGATCCCTTCCCCTGCAGCTGAGGAGTGATGGCTGCAGGAAGTGGGGGCAGGGTGGAATTGGCAGATCTTACTGCCGCTGGGGGAGAAATCTGGGGATGGGTCTGACCCGGTCCTGGATGCCCTGCAGGGAAAGAGGAAGTCCTGTCCTCCCCAGCCCAGCCAGAACTATCAGCTGAGCCCGGCACGGGGTAGGAGCCACCAGCCGGGTCTTCGCCAGTCCCTCTCCCTTCCCCACAGTGATTTACCTCTCTGCCAGCTGCTCTTGGCACCTGAAACATACTGCTGGGAAGGGCCGCAGGACCACTCTTGTGGTTTCACTTTGCTTCCCCATCAGTCATTTTTCTGCGGGGAAGCAAAGAAATCTGTGAGGGACATAAATTCTGCACATGTGCAGTGGTGCAGAATTCCCCCAGGAGTAAAGAGTGCTTCTGTCAGCATAGCTCATGTCTGGGGAGGTGGTGCTACTGTGCTGACAGAAAAACTCCTTAAGCTGCGTCTGTACTAGGGGGTCTGGCAGTTTAGCTATACCAGTATATCTAGAGTATAGTCTAGACCTACTATTTAAGGTGTGATATTAGAATGTGATAAGTAGGGAGACCACAGGCTTTGACTTGAGCAGTTTAGTTTACATTAAATGCAGTGGACCCTGTCTACACTAAAGTTTAAAAATTTGTCAACTAACATCACACCTTTAAATCCTAGTCTAGACAAAGCCTTTCTGGTTTAGCCAAGGTAGACGTGTTTGTCTCTTCCAATGCCTGAACTCAGTGGAGCTGGCCCTGTTGGATTCTAGTGAATGAAGGCTCAAACCTATAATCTGTTCATTGTAATTTAATCTATTCAGTTCCCCAACTTTCTGAAATCTGTCAAATTTGTGATACAAATCTGTCTGGTATTGGAATGCATAGACTTGAAGAGACTATTCCACGGGCTTTCATTTTAAGGTGCTCTCTTACAGCTCATGGGCAAGTGACATCTTTCTTTAAGATTGCAAGAGTACTAGCACTTTCCAGTCTGCCTCTCTCGTCAGCTGGCTGTTTATAATTGTTCAAAAAATTCACCTTCCAGGCTGAAAGTTTTCAGGGCTCTGTCCCCAAGTTGAATTTTTGGGAAAATTTGGGATAAAACAGTTCAGCACCAAATCATCTGGATGTAGAAAGAGCATAGTTTTTTGTCTTTAAACAGAAGTGACCACTAAACTGGGTGCAAGCAAACAATATATGTTTTAATACAGCTAAATGTAAATGTATACCTCTAGGAACGATGAATGTGGGTCATACTGACAGAATGGGGACTCTACCTTGGGAAGCAGTAACTCTGAAAAGATGTGGGGGTTGTGAATAATCACCTAAACATGAACTGCCAATGTGATGCTGTTGCCGAAAGAGCTAATGCCATCTTTGAACACATAAACGTGGGAATCTTGAGTAGGAATAGATTATTTTACCTCTGTATTTGAAACTAGTGTGACTGCTGCTGGAGTCCTGTGTCCAGTTTTGGTGCCCAGAATTCAAGAAGAATGTTGATAAACTGGAGAGGATTCAAAGAAAAGCAACAAGAATGATTCATTAAAGGATTAGAAAACAAGCTGTATAATGGTAGACTCAAAGAGCTCAAACTATTTAGTTTAACAAAGAGAAGGTTAAGGATTGACTTGCTTACAGTCTCTGTACCTGGGTATTAAATATTTAATAATGGTCTGCTCAATCTAGCGAAGAAGAGTATAACACAATCCAATGGCTGGAAGACAAATTCAGATTGGAAATAACTCACATTTTTTAAAGTGAGGGTAATTGACCATTAGAACAGTTTACCAAGGGTCGGGGTGGATTCTCTATCACTGATTACTTTTAAATCAAGCTTAGGTGATTTTGTCAAAAATCTGCTCTATGAGTTATTTTGGGGAAATTCTATGGCCTGAGTTATTCAAAAGGTTAGACTAGATGTTCACAATGCTCCCTTCTGGCCTTGAAATCTGTAATCCTCTAGTCAGATCTGCATACACAGGTTAACATTTGATAGGTAGATAATTCTCACTGAGGATCCATTACTCCATTCACCATGCGCTGTATAAGCTTCACCTTACAAAAAGTTATAGAAATACAATATTATATAATTTGCTGTTTCTATAATACACAGGGTCCTGTTTTACTTCATGGTCACAGTTTGTAGACTCCACCTCCTGCGCCAGAATCTAAGCTTCTGTACTTAAAAAAAGAGAGAGAGGCATTCATTCTATGTTTTCTATAGCTGCCTACACCAATGTGAAGTAGGTGTAAAATTCCATGACTGACTTTGAACTATGAGGATTAGACACATAGGTTAATGGTGAATTGGGCCCTGTGTGTACGTGCCTTGTGGCTGTAAAAAGAACTTTCCAAAAGTGAACAGTGTGTTACTGATTCTGTGCTGTGTCAGTATGTAGACAGCCAGAAACAATAACAAAATGAACTGCCTCATTTATTACAGGCTGCATAAACCTTAGACAGAAACAAGGTATTGACTTTGAAATCTACCAGTGGTAATATCAATGTTGACATTTAAAACTCTTTTCACTGCTCATCACTGGTGGAGGAATATTCAATGAATATGCTTGTGCTAAAATACAAAACCTGCTCCCCAGGTACAAAAAGGTCCTGCTGCTCCCCAATCCACAGCCATCATTGTCAATTTCTTTTTGCATGCACCCCGGACAACTTCTACAAATGAAATTGAGTTTTCAACACACAGTTCTGCAGCACACTGAAAACTTAAATTCTACAAGGATTATCATACTGATGGTTTTCATTTAATTAAATATGAAAATGAACACATCCATCTTTTATCTTATCTGAAGGTGCTGCAGGATTTTCAGCCTGCGGCTCCAAAGCATCATTAAAAGCCAGGGACCTTGAAGTAGAAGTCATTTGTTATAGAGTATCCTGGATCTTGCCTGCACAGTCAGAAATATGTAGGCTAAATGAAGCACTTGGCTCATTCACTGTGCATCTTCTATAGAGTGACTCTCTGGCATACACATGTATGTGAGCTTGTAGGGGGAAAAAGATTGTATTATTTCTATCCTAAGTATTCTTATGGCCACCATCACTGTAGTATCTGAACACCTCACAACCTTTAGAGTATTTATCCTTACAACACCTCTGTGAGGTATTATCCCCGCTTTATAGATAAAGAACCGAGACAGGGTGGCTAAGTATTTTGCCCAATGTCACACAAGAAGTCTGGCTGAACAGGGACTTGAAACCAAATCCTATGCTAGTGCCTTAAAATTGGTCCATCCTCCCTGTCTTCCTTTTGAGAAGTAATATGTGATCATCACATAATTAAAGATTGTGTCATGATGTATGCGCCCAAGGGGGCAGAGTTAGGATTCCACACTATCACTGCCTGATTTTTGAAAGCAAAATTAATATTCTTTTAACATAGTTTTTTGATGGAATATTGTGTAGAACTGTAAAAGTGATCTATGCCATCTCTGTTCTATTTATCAATAGACACGTCTCTAAACTTGGAGCGCTTATTATTTTCGTAACTTAAAGAGCAAATCAATAGGGTATTAAAAAACATCAGTGCCTGATTCCACCTCTGTGTTTGCATTTGTGTTCTCTTGTTTCTTTTTGCAGAGCACTGTCCATGATTTAACAGTGCATCGTGCAACTCCTGAAGACATGGTAAGTCAAAAATCTGTCATTACCTCTATTCCATAGCTGGTCAATCTACTTGGTAATCTGGGGCAGATATTTCATTTTATTTCTATGAGATGTTTTGTTTATAACATCTTAATCTCCCTTCCCTACCCACCGAAACCTTTTTTAAATATAGCTTTTTACCCCCAATAACTATATGCACAACTCCTTCTTTTAGCAGTGTCCATCTGCTTAACGTCTCCTTAAACCAGCTTATTTTAACCAATATGCTGATATATTTTCCAGTGGATCCCTCTAGAATGTTTTCCAACATGGGGTAATGGGGGAAAAGAAAACCTTCCAATAGATAAGTTTAACCTGCATCATCTTCACTGAAGAAAAGGCTGAAAAATATGTTCTTTAGTCTTGGCATTTCCTTAATTCTTGCAGGGGGTTGAACAGGTTCACACCACTGTTACTATTCCTGCTATGTAGAGCTGCTATTCCTCACAAAGTAGGAGTTAAATTCCATCCAGCTGATAGCACTAACATATAGTGTAGTGTTGTGCTCATTTAGGATTATATCTCTTGTGAGGAGGCTAGTTTTGATGACATAAGTCTCTTTCTAAATTCTATAACTTAATTATTCTCTAATCAGGGTGCTTGGAGGCCTGTGAGAATCTAATACATTAAATGTGCTATTAATCTGAATTGGATACATGCATTCCATTCAGGGGGTGGAGATACTGATACTCAACAGCAGTGCTGAATCAGGCAATGCATTTTGCCTTGTTTTCAGTGTTCTGGGTGACACTATTTCTGGGACTGTTGGATACAGCTGTTGCTGTCGTTTCAGTAATGTAGGGCAGATGGGAACCCATACATTTCCCCCTGCCCTTTGCTCTGTGAGGTAACTTAAACTTTTGTTCTTCACGGAGTGGTCGACACTGTGATTGCAGTTGCCATTCATAGATGGTGACATTACTGGCATCGCCAACATGTGGTTTGACTTCACTGTACCCAATGCATAAATTGGTAGATCCAAAAAAGAGAGCCCACTGGCAGTTTCCCTGCTGCTTGGTAAGAGTGCCTTAGCTCAGGGGTTCTCAACCTTTCTTTTTTTTTTTCAGACCCCCTCAACATGCTATAAAAACTCCATGGCCCAGCTGTGCCACTGCAACTGTTTTTCTGCATATAAAAGCCAGGCCCACCATTAGGGTGTAGCAAGCAGGGTAGTTGCCTGGGGCCATACACCACAGGGGGCACCATAAAGCTAAATTGTTCAGGCTTTGGCTTCGGCCCTGGGTGGTGAGGCTCGGGGCCCTGGGCTGCAGTCCTGTGTGTCGAGGCTTTGGCTTTGGCTTTCTGCCCTGGGCCCTAGTGAGTCTAATGCCAGCCATGCTTGGCGGACCCCCTGAAACCTGCTCGTGGCCCCCCAGGGGTCCCCAGAACCCTGATTGAGAACCACTGCCTTAGCCTGTCCCTTAGATTTGAACCAAATTCTCTTCCATGCTTGCATAGGTGCGGCGTCATGAAATACACAAGTCCAAGAACAAAGCACTGGTGCACGTGGAGCTACAAGAGAGAGCACTGAAGAGAAAATGGAAGAAGCAGAGGCAGGGGGCTCCTGATTCCCTAGAGAAAAGGAAGCTGGCCCTCATGCGAGAGGTAAGAGCTAGGTCTGGACTTTCAACACATGTTTTTAATTTGCCAGGAGCACGAAACTCGCACTTTGCATCTTCTTCCTCATCTCCTTTGCTATGAAGGACTTGTAGCAAAATGGAAAATTGTTCCTGCCTGTAGGTCGAAATCCACTGCCTGGCTGAATAATCAAGCTTGGCTGATGCACAGAATTGCTCACCCCTAGGTGTTCTTCTTTCAGCTACTGCAGAACATTGGTTGGAGTAGGCTCCATGGTTAACAGGCACCCAAGCCCCAAGGAGATGTGATCACGTGGTCTACATAGTATCAGATCTTACTCCTGGCCCCTGCCCATGCCTTGGCCCCAGCCATTTTTTGAATGCTGCTGTGCAGGGATCCTTACAGTTCTAAATTCCAAGCTGTGAAAGGGCGATGTATCCTGTGCTTGTCTCTTTCTCCCCCTCACACACACCATGGACTCCATTGTTTAGTGGAAATGCTAAGGCTCTTGTGTCTGGGGAACCTCTGTACCTGCAATGGCTGTATTTAATCAGAAGAAAGGAGGCCAGCAAGAAGGGGAGTGTAAAAAAGAGGGGCAGGAAGGGTGGGGAGGGGGAAGCGAAAGAAAATTGACAAAACGGGTTGAGGAGCTGTAAGTACTAGCCGGTGATCTGGTGTTCCAAATTTGGAATTTAATTCTGTCCCTCACTATCTGGGCCTGCCTTAAACACTATGTAATACTACTACTTAACCAGCTTTTGAGTTCTGACTGCAGCAGCACTATCTGACTCCAGTCCGGAGGCAATAGCTTCTTACTCAATTAAATTATTTCCCCTGATTCAAACAGCCAGTAATTCCCTGCAGCATGGTTATTTGAGATGTGCCAGTTGCTGTGGGCCATGGGATTAGTCACAAGTTCTTGTATCTATAAAAGTTTGTGAGCTAGGGATTGTATGTTAGCTTCATGGTGGAGGGTTACCAAGTTTCCCCTAAGAATTACATCAGTGGAGGGTAATTACTGCAGCTGCCAGGACAGGTAAACAACTCTAGAGAAGTACCACCTTCTGGGGGGACTTGCCTATGTAGGCTGAGACTGGGTTCAAGAGGACAAGGAAAGAGCTTGTCGTATAAAGGGTCAGCCTGAATTGGTTAGGTATCCCTCACTTTGATCCAGAAACTGACATGGAATTGTAATCAAAAAGGCAAACCCTGCTGGAAGGGTTTGAAGGACTAGAACCTGCCAGGGTCTACACATGGAAGAAGGCAACACTTGGTAATCTTAGTGTGTGTAGGTGTTTTTATTATATGTTGTCTCAGTAATGCTTTTGTCTTAAAATACATATATTGTGTTTTGTGAAAGCTGGCTGGCCACTCCTATTCCTGATGTTTTCCCTTGAAAGAAAGTGAATTGCATGTGCCAGACTAAAGTCTGATCTGCTGGGATAATCACCATGAACTGCATGGGGACTGCAAGCTTAAATCCCCAGTCTGAAGGGAGAGGGACATGGGTCCCAGCCCATATAGAGGTGACAGCTGGGGACCTGAGACTAAAGTGGTGCTTGTGAGCAGACCATGGAAGGGGCAGAGGCAGAGTTAACCCCAGAACTATGATAGTTGGCTATTCTGTTATTACCTGTTAAGGATAATGATACCAAAATCCCTTTCCATAATCCATGTATTTATCCTGATTTTTTGGGAAATCAGTTTGTATATGATGGTATGAAGTCTCTTCTGTGCTGTGCCTTCAGATTCTCTCTGATCAGTATCAGCTGCAGGATGTGTTGGAGAGATCTGATCAAGCCATGGCTGTGGTGAAAGACCTGTTTGGTGATGCTCCTCGCAGGCATACAGGTAAACCATCTAATTTGTGTAAGGCAGTTCATTTAAGATTGCCACACTTTTTACAAATTTTGTCTAATTTCACAAAGTTGTAGACTGGATAATTTGGTTTAGCTCAGATTGTTTGGTTGATCTGGTTAGTTAGCATAGCATAGTTGGTTCCCTTAACATAGTACAAAGGAGAACCAGCTCTGCCTAACTATTACAGATCAGGATGACACCTAATGTGAGGGGCAGGTTATCACACACCTTGCTACTGCAGGGTTCTTGTACCTTCCTCTGAAGCATCTGGGTACTGGATTAGATAGACCTCAGAATCTGATTCATTATGGCAGTTCTTGTGGTCTCACTCCTGAATGCCTCTGATGCATAGTCCTGGGTGCCCTTGGAGCTTTGTCAGTGGATGAATGAGGGTCTCTCTTGCTTGCTCTTGATCGAGAATGCAAAACCTATTGGCCCTTCTCACCAGAGAGAATGGTGGGCTCTGCAGTTTCATTCATCTTTTCTGTGAATTGCCATTTCTCTTTCACTTGTAATGACCGTATGTTCCTCTGTGCATGTGCACATTTCTCTGATTACATCAGTATGTACAGTGGCAACCCTAACCCTCCACCCAGTATGTAGTGTGACTTTGTGGCTGGCCATTAGGGTTACTCAGGAGTGATGTTCATCTCCCCTTGACTTGTGTGATATATCTCGGAGACAAAAGGGGCTTAATTTATGGTACAGAAGTCCTGAGATAGTGGTAGGACTTTGGACCTGGTTTCTCCTGAGATAATGGTTTATCAGCTAAGTAGCCCTTTGTGTATTATGACTTCCTGTCTTCCTCTGTCTACTCTAGGTTTCCCTAATGTAACAATGGCTCCTCATTGTGACCTGGAATCCTCTCAAGGTCCCATTGTACAAAAAAGTGATCCTCCCACACAGCTTTCCATCCTTAGTGAATCTATCATGGATCCCCAGGTAATGTACTCTTTATATGGACTGTATAGTAAATGCAAGTAAACTACGTTTTCAATGCAGAGTTCTGTGGCTATGTCTTCACTTGCGTGAAAGTCAGGAATCCAAAATTAAGGTTCCTAAGCTATCCTAAATCAGGTCTTTTGTGTATAGTGTATATATTATTATAACTTATGTTTAACGCTGCATACAGAGATAAAACTACATATATTATGCAGAAAATATTTTGGGTTGCTTTGGGAACCCTGACTTTGGATTTCCTTACCTTTTTGTACAAAAAGCATCAACTTTGATGTTGCATTAACATGGTTTCATTTGTGTTTTAGTTCTTAAAAAGTAAAAGTAGAAGTGATTAAATCTGGAACTAATTTCCCTGACATTTAGCTGAATGCACACACATTGAGAGATACTCAGATGCCTTTATTTCAGTGCAGTGATATCTCTGTATGTGGCTGTTTCACTGACTGCATTCAGAGTGTTCTTTTGATGTTCACTTAAGTCTGTTAACTAGTTTTTTTTTGTAACCATAGCAGAACCTGCATAAATTGCAAGTTTGAACTTTTAAAACAAAATCATTTTTGCGTTAGACAAGAAAAATTTGAATAACTTTTAATGTGCTTTTCCCCCCTCGGATAACTGATATCTGAAATCATGCCAAAAATATTAACTTGACGTTGAGAACAAGGATAAGAGACTTCATCCCAAAGGGCTACTTTTCTGAAAAGTTACAAATGACAGAAAATAGGGTCTTGGCATGAAAGTGTCATATCTATCATAAGTGTAATCTTCCTGTTATGATTCTGTACTAATATTTACGCCATAGCACCTTGCACAAATACATAATATCCTAAACTGAATTCAGGACTGCTCTGCCAGTCAGACTGGGTTCTTTTTAAATGAAGGCATTCATTATTTGCATTTTTTGCTGTGGCCTAGGATTTATCTATGTAGCATATTGTATCGCTGCATGTGAGTTGTATGATAGGTTGAAAGTCTGGGCTTTCCAGAGGAAGCTAAGGGAGGCAGTGCCCAATCACCATTGAATTTCAGTGAGATTTGGGTGTCCAACTCTTCTGCTCTTTTGAAAATCCTGCCCAAAGATCCTGTTGTACAGCATACATAGGGCAAAATTCTGGTTACTGCAGGAGATCTTAATTCTGAATTGACTTTCCTAAGTTATGTGCACAATGAAATATCGCCCTTTTCATTGCATTACATCACTTTTTTTATGCATGTGCTGGAAATGCAATTTATGTGTGGGTTTTTATATGTAACCTACATTAAAAGAATGTTGTTTAGATTGCAAAGTGAATCTTTCAAAACTTAGGAAATACTAGAATTTAGTTGTTGTGGCAGTATTAATTTTTCCACTTAATTACATGACCATATGTTATGTTTTTTCCACAATATCCCTGTCTCATTTGATGGCTAGAAAGGCCACTACTAAGGAAATGAGGCAGCTGTTCAATATTTTTTACCCTCAGTCATTGTGCGGCCCTTGCCTTACTGTACACAACCAAACAAAGCATTGAATACTGAAGTATTCATTTCCTGTGGTCTTTTCTAGAGTACTCATCACTGTAGTATCCCAGTGCTTCACAAACATAAATGAATTTATTTCCTGTCTTCTCTGTAAGATGCGATTATTTTTGTCCATATTTTAGAGGTGGGGAACTACAATAAAGAGACTTCACTGGAAACACTTCCCAGAAAACAACTACTTTATTTTTTTCCTTTCTGAAGGGTGGGTTTAAATTGCTGTCATGTAACTTTTGAGATGTCTTGTGTTTTTCTGAGACAGGCTCTCAATGAAGTAGAAGGGGAAGGTTCCTCCAACTGTCAGTCAGAGGGCAGTGTGAATGAACAGGATGTGTCTTTGCACTTCAAGTCCAACATTGACACAAACAGGTCAGTGTGTGTTTCTGTCTCAGTCCACTATCGTAAGGTTTCTTGTCCATAGTATTTTAATAGCACTATCAGATGTCCAAACACCTTTGTGCTTTCTCCCATCGCTATCTCTTATGCACAGGAGTTGCTCCCCATAAATATTCACAAAGCTATTATGATATATCCTCCTTCACATCTCTCCTTAAAACTCCTCTCCCATGATGCCTACAAAACACTTGGCAGTGACTGGGCACTTGGTGAGCTGTGACTGATATTTATTACAGTTACCATAATAGTCTCATTGTTACCTTGTGTTCTCCTACCCCCCCACCCCACTGTCTCATATTTGCATTGTAAGCTACTTGGGGACAGGGGTCTTCTTTCAGTTGTATGGACAGTGCAGAGTGCAGTGGGCTCCCATTCCTGATTTGGACCTCTAGGCACTATCTCAGTACAAATAATAGGTTGACTTGTGGAATTGGATTGGTAGTTGAAACCTTAATAGCAATTAAGAGGACCCAGCGAGGAGAGTGTGTAAAGGGAAAAGAGGGCAGGCTAAGAACAGGACTCTGTGGGACCCCAGTGGACTGCAAGAGATTGGAAGAGAAGGACCTGTTAACAGACATGGCAGGCATGATCAAATAGGAGAATCAGAAGAGAACTGCACTGAGAGTCCAGAACAGATAATATATAAAGAGGAAAGGTGTGATCAACCATGTCAGAAGCAGAGGAAATGTCAAGAATGATGAGGATGGAGTAGAGATCTTTGGACTTGGCTAAGAAGAGTCTGTTAGACTTTAAGAGCTGTTTCACTGTAGTGAAGAGGCTAGAAGGAAGATTGCGGGGGATCAAGGATGGAGTTTGGAACTTGAGGTAACAGTTTCATATGGTATGTACTGTTACCTCATGTGAAGGATAGAAGGGAGGGGTAGTAGTCAGAGGCAGTTGAAATTTGGGGGTTGTCTTTTGGGGGTGGAGGATGATGACTACAGCATGTTTGTATCTGTAGAGGAAAGGACTGAGGGAGATCAGGAGTTGGGAGGGAATGGGGTCATTGGCACAGATGGCTGTATTAGAGATAGAAAGTGCGTCAGAAGCCTCAGTATTAGTCATAGAGGTGAAAAAGTTGGAGGTGGAGGAAAGAAGAACAGGGGAGATAAGAGATCATAGCAGACCTCATCTTTTTTTTGCATGTGCCAAACAAAGACCAGAACTCTTGCACTGAAGAGTTAACCACTCATGCAAAACTCAAAATCCTGGAAAAGAAGTTAAGCATATTCCTATCATACCTAACTTATGCAAACATGTGCTCACTACAGCTAACATATCATCAGATCCTCCATATACACCATTCATCATCACATCCTCCATTATTTGTGTTTTAACTCTCAGTAGTGATATCTCTCTCTCTCTCAGAAACATATGCGTATGTACTTATGTGTTGAATAACTGGAGGTTAGAAGATTGTCTTGTGAGTGCTATAAGGGGTAGATCATGTATTTGTTTCATTGTATAAGGTATGTGCTCAGTAATAAGGTTGGCTAGTATTTACGATGTTTGAGTGATTGTGGGTAGTGGTGTGCGTTTGTTGAAGGTCTGCTGTATGTGTTGGTGGATTAGTGTGGATGTCTGGTGGATGTAGGTTCGTATAGACGTACCTTTTTGTTTCCTTGATTGTGGTTCTCCATCAGTGTTGTATTGACTTCAGCAACTTATATTGTGAATGAAATTTTTATATAGAATTTTATTACATTTGGCCATGTTGGTTTGCAACTATAGCAATGTGTATTTGAGTTGATTGAGGAAAGTAGCATTGGGTTTGACGGCTGTTGTGTTGGAGTTTTTAAAGTAGCACACTTGCTGGTTTCATTGGAGGAAATGTCAAATGTCATGTCACCATGGCCTGCTCTAAGGTTAAAGCTTAGCTTGGCATAGCTAAAGCACTCAGGAATGGGAAAAATCCACACTCCTGAGTGCCGCAACTACACCAGCCTAAAACATTGGTGTAGATGCAGCTAAATCAACAGAAGCATTCATCCGTCAACCTAGCTACCATCACTTGGGAAGGTGGAGTTACTATAGTGACAGAAGAACCCTTTCTGTCATTGTAGTGTGCATCTACACTACAGGGTTACAGCTGTGTAGCTGTAGCTATGCCACTATAACCTTCATAATGTAGACCAGCCTTGTGTTGGTTACAGTGGAGGAGTACTTGTATAACTAAAATAGAGTGGGGAAGGATTTAACTCCTTTCTAGGAATTTGAGGCTTTGCATTAATGGGGAATTTGTTTGAGCAATTTTAAGTACTTTTTACTCCTGAGGGCATTCTTGTGGCTTCGTTTTGATTCTCTGTCGGAAAATCATTTTTCTCCAGGGAAGTAAAGAACTCTGCAGTGGATGTTAATTCTGCACATGTGCAGTGGCACAGAATTCCCCCAGGAGTAAAGACTTTTTGAGAGGCTTTTTATGGATAGATGGTAAAGATTAGCTGTAAGCATTGTCATTTCAGATTTCAGTGTACCCTTGTACTCTCTCTCTTATGCTTATATATAGGCTACTCCACTTACTGAAAGAAGAAAACGCTGCCGGGACTTCCCAGCTACGGGCTGAGAAGCAACTGAGAACTCCTACCCCATCACAGAAAGCAAATGTAGCTGTGACTCCAACAACTGCTTTGCCATCATCAGGAGGTGCAGGTTTGGCTGTGCTAGAACATTAACTCTCAAAGGACATAGGCTGCTAACAGCATCTTACTCAGAATAATCTTAGTGGAGAGAAGGGACAGGAATAGAGTTTCAGAAATCTGAGTTGGGTTAGCGGAGTAAGGCACAGGCAGTTTGATTGTGTTTATAAATAGAGACAGGGTGGGTGAGAGATCTTTTATTTCTGTTGGCGAGGGAGACGAGCTTTTGAGCGAGACAGCACTCTTCTTCAGTCTGGTAAATGTACTCCGTGTCACAACTAAATACAAGGTGGAACAGATGGTTTAGCATCAGTAGTTAACACTTATTCTAAGTGAAGTGACCTGTTAACATCTCTCCAATCATAGGACAAAGGGGGGTTAGTGTGTGACAGATTGTTGTGGGAATAAATCGTAAATCCAGTGTCTTTATTAAGTCCATTATTTTTAGTGTCTCGCAAAGTTATGAATTTAAGCTTCCAGGCTCATCTTTTGAAGTTGTTGTGCAGGTTTCCTTTGAGGATGAGGACTGAGAGGTCAGATATGGAGTGATTTGTTTTGTGAAAAGTGTTTGCCCACGGGTGATATGGTGTTTTTGTCTCATCATTTTGCTGTGTGAGTTCATTTGTGAGTGTAGTGATTGTCTGGTTTCACCCACATAGTTGTTGTGGAGACATTTAGTGCATTGGATGAAATATTTTACAGTTAATCACTTAAAGTTGTGTGAGTGGGCTCGTATGTGTGATTTGTTTTTTTTTTTTGTTTTTAATCAGCCCTCAATGCTACCAGAGTAGTCCAGAGAGTCCATTCAAGGCTTCAGAATGAAGATGAAGAGCAGACTTCAGATTCCTCTTACACTGTGAGACAAGTGCTGAACCCAAACCCAAGAAAGCAAAAGCAAGTTTCAACAAAAGGTCTGATCCTTTTTAAAATGAATATTTCATCCAAAGTAACTTGTACCTGAGACAGTGTATCTGCCTTCCTCCAGTGTCCCTTAAAGCTCTGGTTGAGACCATATTTTCATTAAACAGTACTGATCATCAATGTCATTTATTGGAGTTAAAAGTCAAGATACAGTAGCAATTTAGTACTTAAGCTGACAAGGAAAGAGGAGAATTCTTTACTGCTTGTGATCGCTGGTTACAGTACACTCTCTCTTTGCTTGGAGTTTTACTTTCAGCTCTGGTATTTGCTAAGATTACAGAGGTAGAAGTAGTGACTACATAGTTATGGTTGCATTGTGATCTGCTAATAAAGGACTGAAATCTTGTGTGTTGAATTTAGTCTCCAAATTTGGCACAACAGCCCTTCAGGGGACAATTTGAAATTTTCATTTAAATTGTTTTAGGAAAATACTTACTAATTTTTAGGAAACATTTAAAAATTCTTCCTGTATGAAATTTGGTCTGGATGTTGTCTGAATTTTTTTAGATGCCTCTGACTTCAAAAGGGGAGGGAGGACCCAAAACAGTCTCTCTACCCAGGTCCCTCCCAACTTCTAAAATGTCTGTCACATAATGCTGTATGGATTGGACACTTATGAAATTTGACAATTCTGTGCATAAAGAATAATTCCACTTACTCCTCATAACTGAATAAATTTGCATGAAGTGGCTGAGAGGGGAAGTGCAGTCTTCGTGGGTTAATACCTCAGTTCATATGGACTGGGATCCACATCGTGCTATTACTGATTCACTGTGCAAAAGAGGCAACAATGTCATGAGGAACTAGCTCTGGATGCAGTGTGGCATTGCCAGGGCTTCATATTGCCACTGCTATTTTGGTACCACCAGGCAGCAGGACTGTGGGGAGCCAATTGGGGGAGCTGCCATGTAGGACATACAAGGGTGTTTTAAGGGTTTTTGGGGATGGAGTGTCATCCATATGTTTTGAGATGCTGGGAGGTTATAACCTTCTTCAGCAGCAGTTCTATTCCAGTTTCTTCACTCCGGCTCATATGAGGACTCGCTTCCTGTAGTTTTTCAGAAGATTGTCAGACAGAGAAGATGCCTCAGGAGTGGAGCTAGTAGCTTAATTATAGGTGCACTTTCTGCTGCAAGTCCCATCCCACCCACTACGCCTCAGCTCTGCTTCCCCACAGCTAAGTCTTGGTCAGATGCGCCTGAGCAGGTCTATCAAACTTTAACTCCTGCTGAGGAGCATAGCAAAGGTCCATGGGAGGTTGGGGAATGTAGATGGGGTACCTTCATGCTACTCACTTCCCTGCTAACTCACCTGTACCTCTCTACATGGCTGTCCTCATGCACTCCCTGGAACTTTTTCTGTGCTGTATTGCACAGATCTATGGTGGTGATCAATCTATGTATTGAATACTTAGGGTTTTGTAGAAGAGTCAACTCTTCTACACAGTGTTGGTTCTGCAGAAATTTAGACCAGGGGTTCCCAAAGTGAGGCCTGAAGGAGGAGAAATTCAATGTACATTTGTCCTTCCCTGTACTTGTGGGCTGAAGGCTATTGATCAGCTGAATATTTCCATGGTTGTTGGAGTTCACCCACAAATAGTTTTGAATTGTCTGCCAAGGAAGATAAAAGTATAAACAAATGCTGGAGTTGGTGCCTTTATTTTGATGTTCATTTACCATATGTGTAAACCAGGTGTGGTCTCTGCCTCCTTGAAAGTCAGTAGGGTGGTCCTCAGAGTTAAGTCCAGTTTCTGAGGATTTAGAAACAAACTGTATTAATCTGAATGACTAGGATGCATCCATCTTTGATGTTCCTTTGTCCATTATAGTGCTGGAACAGAGTACTTCTCCCATGGCTTATTTCAACAAAAATTAGTCTGTTTTTTGATTGGAATCACAAACATTGTTAAACTCACAGTTGGAATTTAAAGTATTTTTTTTATGTCTCTGTCTCTCTTTCAGTGAAAAGAAATCAAACTGCACAGATGGCTTCCAAACAGAGAAGAAATGATTCTCTTGCTAATGCAGTTTCCTTCGAACTCCCAAGTGGCAATAAATCTAGCTTGGATGTCCTGAATCACATGATACATGAAGTGGAGCATGAAATGGAGGAATATGAGCGATGGACAGGCCGTGAAGTACAGAGAATGCAAAACGGTCATGGCCTCACAGGGTTCACCATGTCACTGGTGAACACACTCTGTCGTCTGATGCGCTACCTCAAGGAGGTGAGTAGATGTTATGTGAACTGCTCCTGTAGCTAGAATGAATAAGCACAAAGATTATAGATTAATTTACTACCTTAACTTAGACATTTCCTAACTTCCAAGTCATTTACTTTGCAATCTCAATATCTGTAATAGTTTTGTTAGGATTGTGTGCAATTTAAAAAAGGTTAAATTATTAATTCAGAAACTATGCTCTCTCTAATAAACGGGCAGGAGTTCACTGAACTGAAATGCAGGAGGTCTCCCATTTACTTCAATGAGAGATGTAGTCCACTTAGAACACTTTCTAAAACTATAAAAATTAAATGTATATTCAGAATATTGGGTGTTTCAATGTTTTTGTTCACAATCAGTTGGTTTTTGTCTATCTGTCTTAGGTATGTGGGCTTTGGAATTAGTTATATGCTAAAGATCTCCATCCCTTCCTGGTTCCTCCACAAGTGCCTGGGAACTACATCACAGCACCTAGCTGCTGCTTGTTTCACAGTGAACCGCTCTGCTCTGAGCACAGGGTTTTTTAGACCCTTGCGTTTGGATGACAGTCCTCCTTTCTGTTGTGTTGCTTCCTTGTGCTGTGCTCCCCTCATTGGGAGCACTGGACCTAGGCCTGGACTGCGAAGATTTGGGTAGGCTATACCCCTGTGTCCGAGGCACAGATGAGGTTGCATCACAAACAGCAGAGGCTGGTCCCTCACCCTAGTTGAAAAATATTGTTGACCAAGCAGGGCTGAAGTTGGGCTGAAATTGATTCCTGACCATCTGTCACTGTCATCATTGGAAGTGAGTCTCCATTCAGGTCTTGAGAGAGTTGAGTGATGTCCAGCCCATAGATATGGTCTGTGGGCCATGCAGTCAAACCGTGATTGAAAGGGATACAGCCAGAGCTGTGTGACTTGTGGGGCTGTCTCCTGCTCTTTTTGCAGTGGCTAAGCCAAATACAGCCATACCATATTTGATACTGGTAACCCTTGGGACTGTCCCCTTGGTGGTGGTGCTTGTGCACCCAGAGACCCTTGTTCCTTACTGAGATGCTGCCTGTATGAGACTATCACAGTCCACTGTCTTCTCCTTAAAGCTATTATGGGGGTTATGCTTGGAAGGACTCTGCAGCCCTGGCTTATTTGCCTAGCTAACCTCCCTCCCCGTTCAGCCAGCGAGGAGTTGCCAAGGGATGGGCCACACATCCTAGAAAAAGAGCATTCCAAGAGGTCTTGGAGCCTCCAGAGAGGTTATTTCCTCTTCCTCTGTGGAGAGTGAATTCTCCTCTGGCTCCTGTCCAGGAGATATAGACTCAGAATCCAGAACTTCTGATAGGATATTGGTACATTATCCTTAAAATAAGTAATACAGGAAGGGAAACTCTGGTCTCTTGAAGCCTTTGCTAAGGTTCCCTCTAAATATAAAAGCAAGAGACACTGCATTTCGAACACTAAACTCTCTTTGGAGGAGGCAATAAATGCAGAATAGCTCTGTGAAAAGGGGGGGACCCTCTACTGCTGAGATCTATGCCAAACTGTATAAAATCCCTAAAGAAAAGTGGAATAAATTTGGTCATGTCCTGAAGTGAATTCTAAAATCTTCTTACTGCTTTTACTTTATATATCTATATCTATATCTATCTATCTATCTATAAAAAACAAAGCCACTCATCCTGTGAATGCTATTGCCCACAAAGATCCATTGGACAAAAAAAAATTAGAGCATTGACACACCACAATACTGGTTTGTGCTGTGTATGCCCTACCTCCACTTCAAAAGCCTTCCTCTCCTGGCACACCATAAACAAAGCACATAAGACTAGGAGACACATTTGGCTGCAGTCACTGACCCTGTCCCCCAACACCACTAGGGCCCAGAGCTCTTATTTCAGACTGGTTTGAGTTCCCCAAAAGTATGGAATTGTTCTGCTCAGTCCTGGCTCTGTCCATACCTAAACCAATCAAACAGTCTGGTGCATCCAAGTCAGGCTAGAAAACCTATCCTTCCTAGTTTTAAGAAATTCAGAAAGTGGTTTACCTGTGTTCCATAGGCTTAAAGGAGATATACCAGCATGTCCTCTTACATCTGCCTGTCAGTATCTGTGCTTCACTCTGGACAATTATCATTTCCAATACATGATCCTCCTTTTGTCCCCGTCTTTGGCCTCACAGCTTTTCTCCAAGATTTTGATAGCCCTGATTACCTCCCTGAGGGAGGAGAGGATTTACATTTACTACTATACAGGTGACATTCTCATTGAGTCTGAGTGCCAGCAGAAGCCGTCTGAGATGCTCAGTTGGGTAATTCAAGCTCTGCAGAGGCGCAGCTTTTGTCTTTAACCTGGAAAAGAGCTCCCCAACACTTCTCAGGATCTCCAGCATTTGGGGGCCCGATTGTGCATCCTCAGAATAAAGGATGTAGATCGTCTTGTTCATAACTCACAGATAACCACTTGGAGGAGCACTCTATCTGCTTGATCTGATGTGTCTAGCACAGTCACAGTCCAGTGGATCTTTCTCCACACACGACCTCTCCAGGCTCTCATTTTCTCCATGGGAAATCAGTGAGGATTCCACGTGTAGTCCTCTGTATCTCATGTCATCAATGCTGGTGTCCCTACAGTGGTAGCATAATATACAAAACTCAAGGAAAACCTCTTTCAGATCCAGCAGTGACAAGGATCATTGACCCCTGTATCAGCCTTCATGCTGTCTCACTTATAGCTGGGCAAATGATCTTCAGCAGAATCCAGGAGGCGCATCAGCTGGCTGGAGATCAGTGCCATCACTAAAGTCCTGAAACACCTCTCCCCTCTCTTGACCACCACTGACAACAAGATGGCAGTGGTCTACGTCAGCAGGCAAGGCAGGACTCTCAGCTCCTCATTGCCGGTGAGAGGAAGCATCTAGAATTCTCCCTGGACAGAGAGGAAATGTCTCTCCATTGCATTATCTTATGTTAAAGGATAAGAGCAATTTACAAACTGTCGATCTCAGGGGAGTGGGATCTGAACAACAATATCCTCTGTTTAATGTCCCTCTAAAAGGGCATTTTCTAAATAGACCTGTTTTGCCTCCAACAAGGGGGGAAAAAATCTGATCTCTTCTGCTCCCAGCCCTGGTAAAAACAATACTGGAGAACAGATGCCTTCTCCTTCAATTGGTCTGACCTCTCTTCACCAGAATGGCCAGGAAGATCAAGCCAGACATGAGCAGCACAGAGCACTGTCCAGCACCCTTAACTACATTGTCTTCTGTGTGTAATCCTATAGTATGGAGTTGAAGTCTGAGTAGAATGAGAATGCTTCACCAAGAGCGGGTTATGTCTCTTTCGTAAAGGCTGTGAAGAAAGAAGCATAGGAGTTTGAAAGGTCTTCCCTACTCCTGTGCCATCATGGGAGAGTGGGAAAGGGACAATAACACAAATCAAGCAGAGTATCAGTTTGTATGTGCAATAAAACAGGATTGCAATGGTAACACTGACATCACCTTAAAGCTGGTAGCAAAAGCTGTATTTCTATGTTAACTTGATAGCAAGGTTTGGAGTTACTCCCTCTTGTAAACATGGACCTCTATTGATGATTGATTGTGTTTTTCATCCCCCACCCCCCAGAGTGAGATGCAGCTGCGTCAGGAAGCAGCGATGAGGCAGCAGCTTGAGGGGGTGCTGAATGAACACAGAGCACTGATTGATGCTCTGACAACTGAAATCCTTCTGGTCAGAGAAGAAAATGCTGCCATACAGGTACAAAGATGTTGAGCCTTTCCTTTGACACCCTATGAAACCCAAGGCAGGGACTAATGCAGTGAAAGATTTAAGCAGGCTCTTTATCTCTAGAGTGATGCGTCTGAGTTGACGTGCATTGGCAGAGCAGCATAGGGGGCAAAGGACTTTATCAGCAAGGGACGGCGCTACAAATCGGCATTGAAAATATGATAGTTAAAGAGACGAGGAACGTAATAGCGGGGGCGTTGTGATAGAGGGGTTTGTGGAAGTGTAATGCCAACCCTCTGTGCCTCATTCTAAGTCGTGGTATATTCTCCTCACTTCAACAAGCTCCAAATTCCTATCCATTAAAAGGAGTAATGAGAAACATTTTTTGAGAAAATCCTTTTAAACTTTAACAGAAGATTTATTTTAGTACAGCTTAGCCTTACTTTAATGGACACCCACTGTGCAGTCTACATGCTTAAAACTCTGCCTCTTTGCTTTCACAATATTAATACTAGAGGGGCAGTGAAGTGGAACTGACTTGAGGTCTTATTAGTTTCACCGTGTCACTCTGCAGCTGTTGTGAATTAGGATGGAAGTTGCAGCCATAAGAGAAAGCAACCTGGAGAAGGAAGAGGAGGATGGGGAGCATTCGGGGGATAATCAATAAAAGATAAGGCTAGTCAGGAAGGAAAAAGAGGAGAGAGAAATAGGGGAGACAAGTGCAGAGATGCCTTTTTGTGGCACCTCACTGGGATCAGATTAAAGCTTTGGCACTAAGTGGGGAAACAGAGGAATAATACATCTGTCTAATTTTTGTCCCTAGAACACAGATCTCTGTTTGTGTTTTTTTCCCCTCCCTTAGAAAAGGCTTCAGCAATATATGGTGGTAACAGATGAACAGTTGATTTCACTCACTCAGACATTCAAAAGCCTCCCTATAACAGATCCTAACAGAGGGCGAAGTCCAACAGATTTTGGAGTTCCAGTCAACAGTCAAGGTAGGTGTCGTTTCAGCACATTAGTAACTTTAGAATCCTAGGTGACACTTTGGAAAACGCCCTCAGCTCCAAGCAACTCCTATGACAGTATGGAATAGTTGCCAAGAAATCATTGACACAAACCAGAACTTGACCCAGCAGACACCTGTTGTAATCTCATTGAATTCAGTGGGACTATGTCAGATAGTAACTATCATGCTTGGCAGTAAATTGTCATACACAATCATCTAGTCCGAGGCTGATTGATGGATCCTCTTTGAGTCTTCTAGGTACCTCCCATATAAACCTGGGAACTGTTGTCTGCTTCTGTGCCACAGTAAACAGCTCTTATCTCATACGCTCTGCCCTGAGACACGGCTGCTAACCTTTGGATTTTACAGGCATCTTGTCCTCGTTTGTTTATTTAATATTCTCTTCTATACAGTTCTGGTTGGTCCCCTGTTAAGATATAGATATTCAGGCCTGTCTGCAAAGGCCTGTACTTTAAGAATTTAGGTGTATTCTTATCACTTGGCTAATTAGAGGTATAAAAGAAAGAATCAAAATCACTGTCTGCCAGTGTAAGGTCCTTCTCTTACTGTGACAGTCTGAGGCCCTGTTCTTAGGCTAAGGCCTTTGGCTAAGCAACAGAGGCAGCCATAAGCTGGGAAGCAACTGGTCACATCCTCCCATTCCAAACTAGTCACATTGAAAGGAGGTGCTATTGAGCTGTTAAGAATACACTCCTGTCCTGATAATGCCTGTCACCTCCAGAGAAAGGGAAGTGCCTAGAAGATGTAAAAGGAAATTTTAGGTTGATAGTTTTCTGTCTGGTAAGAACTCACTTATCAATAGACACAGCTGGGAAACCCTTATGTCTTTATAGATGTAGTTGTGAAATCCTCACTTCTGTATTGTTTTGTCATTATAGTTCCCACTTTGCTATTGTTTATTGGCATGGTCTCTGTCCGGTTCTGTGATTGTCTGCTGTATAATTAATTTTGCTGGGTGTAAACTAATTAAGGTGGTGGGATATAATTGGTTAGCTAATCATGTTACAATATGTTAGGATTGGTTAGTTAAATTTCAGTAGAATGATTGGTTAAGGTATAGCTAAGAATATTACTATATAAATTAGGGGCAAACAGGAAGTAAGTTGGGATTCGAAAATAAGGAAAAAGGAACTTGGATTTAAGCTTGCTGGAAGTTCACCCCAATAAACATTGAATTGTTTGCACCTTCGGACTTCGGGTATTGTTGCTCTCTGTTCATGCGAGAAGGACCAGGGAAGTGGGAGAATGAAGCAATAAGCTCTCTAACATCCCCTCTTTCACCTCACTGGCAGCTCCAAGCCTCGATCTGGACTGTGAGGATCAGTCATGTAACCAACCATGGACCTATGCTGTAGATGTGGTTATACCACAAACATTTCTATTACAATTAATGGCCCATTCCTTACTCTTTCTATGAGGATTCTGTTCAGGAAGAGCCCTTATAGCTGCTCCTGCTGTAACTCCAGAGGTTTCAGAGCAAAGCTCCCCTTCTTTGAACACAAGTAACCCCTCCAAATGCTCTGTCCTCTTTGGGATGTCTTCCAAAAATACTCTTTCAAAAGAGTCAAAGCTTCAAAGCATGTTTCTTTCTGTACCTCCTGACGAAGGAGAGTTCTTGTTCCCTTCTGACTCCTCTCTGGATGGTTCAGACACTGATGCAGTAGTAGAGGAGGCTAACTCATTAGTTACTTCAGCAGGTATTTGATGATCAGGGAAGCCAACTGCCTCATATGAGTCAGTTGGAGGAGCTGGTGCTGAGGAGGCAAATGACACATGGGTAAAGCCCTGCAAATCGGTGTATATCCATTTTATATCCGTGGACCATGTTTGCGAATCACAGATCGCATGCAGATACAAATTTTGTATCCACACAGGGATCCACGCATAGGAAAGAAGCTCTGGAAGGATACTTCTACTTGGGGAAAACATAAAGAAGGATTTTCTCATTCCTTGTTAAGGTTATTGAGGAACAGTGATTCTGAGCAGTAGACTCCCCATAATCTGACATTAGTTAGTAACATCTGCTACAAACTGTACGCAATGCCTCTGACAGACCAGTTCCCTTTTGACTCTTTACCTTTAAGAGCGCTGTTATGCAGCCATTCAGTTCTGTGATCAGCCATGTCCTGCTTTATCCCTCCTACGGTTTTCCCTTTCAGGCATTAATGCCCTGAACAAAGCTGTTAAGGGGAAATCCAGATATAAGGTCACACAAATGGGGGCTAAGGGGAGTGGGTGTGTGTGTGCGTGTACTCCAACTAAGTATGATCTCACAACCAACTGTAACAATGCAGTCATGTTTTTCATTTTATGCTTCCCTGGCATGTCCAAAGCAGATGGCGACGTGTACACAAACCAGTCATAGGCAAGCAGTTAGATGAGAATGGTAGCCCTGGTTTAGATGGCTGTGTGCATACTAGTTAGAGAGTGGATTTAAAAGGAGGGTATACGACACAGAATGATTGGAAATAGAGTGGTAACAGCTAAATTTCTGTCAACCAGCCCACTTTACAATGAAGCGTCAAATGCATATTTGTGTGTGTGCATTCTGAACAACTGACGAGTCGCATGCTTGGTGACAGTCTCTTATGGGGTGTTCTACAATCTGATCACTGAAGTTTAATTTCCATCTTGGAGATGGAAAGCAATTTCAGAAATACAGAAAGAAGGTTACGTTGGGTATATTAAGGTTTTGTATCCTTTCCGAGTGTGCTCTTCATCAAAGGTAAAATACTATTAGGTAAATTCCCCCTCTTCTCCTCTCCCCCCCTCTACCATGTTTTCAGTTGTCTGAATGCAGGACCTATCTTGATAGGAATTTATTTTTCTGTTGCTCATGTACTAAAATATTTTGTTTCTAATGCCCCCAATTCTTGCCTTGTCTGTCGCCTTCAGAGAAGCCTGTATTATACTCTACTGTGCCCAGGACCAATCTTTTCAGAAGGGAAAACACACTTGTATCCTCACAGGAGGAGCTGCCTATGAAACTTCATCAGTGGTCAAGTCCCCCAGATGCTGTAGTGGCAGGCAGCAGTTTGCCAGCTCATGTGTTCCAGCCAGCTGTATTGTTATCTCCACCTAGACAGAAGAGTATCCAGGAATTCCCTCCTTTTCAGAATGGTGAGATGGTGATCTGTGTCTTTGGACAGAATGAGATCATTATCCTTCACATATGGTGTCAAATATATTGTGCTCCCTCTTTCAAATAGTAATTCTTTGTTGAATGAACTTCCACCAGGATTTGGCCTTGCCCACTTGTTTTTTTTGGAGGCAGCCCTTCTATGCAAGTTCAGTTGGGGCAACTAGGTGCCTGGCACCATTAGAAGCTGCCTGGCATCAGAAACCAGGTCTCTTGCCTCTGCAGCTGGAGCTGTTTCTGCCCTCTCCTGTTTGCTTGTCTTTCTGTCGACTGCTGACTCTCAATTTCTGCAGCCCCTGCTGACGAGTAAACTTTCAGTTACAAAGCATGACAGAAATAAAATGACTATTAATCCTCCAAAAATAATTTTTAAATGTAGCCTATGTACAAGGTTTCAGTAAGTTTTTAACCATATCGGAAGTCTGAAGAGTTTGCACTATATTGTTATTAGGGGTGATAAATGGTCTGTCATTAGATGTTAAATTTCTTAAAAAACCTGTTTTAAAAAATGTTAACTCCTAAACTACAGATTTACTTCCAAATTCTGAGAGAAGTCGCTCTGTACCCAAATGCTGTAATTTGGGAAAAGACAAACTGCGCTGGCTTAGCAGCGGGTAACTCACATGCGCTATTTTCAGCATTTTGCATATTTCCTCTGATGTTGATTCTGGGCTGTAACAAAGCAGAAAATAACTAGCGATCAATCTTTATAAAATGGAGGACTTACTCAGCCACAAAATAAATGTTTATTTCAAAGTTTCCAACTGATATTGCAAACTGAAAAGTTCAGCTCCTCTCTTCCTTGGCTCTTCAGCCCATTCCCCTCTGCTAGCTTTAAATCCAAGTACAATAGAACCTCAGAGTTACAAATGTCTCAGAAATGGAAGTTGTTCATAACTCTGAACAAACTATTATGGTGGTTCTTTCAAAAGTTTACCACTGAACATTGACTTAATACAGCTTTGAAATGCAGAAGAAAAATGCTGCTTTTAACCATCTTAATTTAAATGAAACAAGCACAGAAACAATTTCCTTATCTTGTCAAATCTTTTTTTAAACTTTCCCTTCATTTTTAATAGCTTACATTTAACACAGTACTGTACTGTATTTGTTTTTTGTTGTTTGGGGGACAGGGGATTGTCTCTGCTGCTGCCTGATTGCGTACTTCTGGTTCTACCGGTCAGTTCATAACTCTGGTGCTTGTAACTCTGCGGTTCTATTGTAATTGTTAAAATACTTGCAGTGACCTCTTTTGGGGAACATGAGCCAATGGTGTACCCTGAATAGAAAACTATCCACGTCCCCATCCTTGGTTGGGTGTTACAGTTCAAGCCCTTCTCTGTGACTTAGCTCCATTAGATTAGTACTGCACAGTCACTCCCCATGTTGAAGACCGCTTGTTTACTGTTCCTTTACTCTTTGTCTGTAGCATTGAAGAAGACAGTTCAAACATATCCTGCATCCCACATCTCTCCATCTATGGAAACCACTGAGAGAGAGCCAAACTGGCAAAAGAGCTCACCTTCCTCTGCAGGAACTCAGAACACAAATGAAGAGAATCGTCTCCTCACCCAGAGGTGGCGAATTCCTCCCATACACAAAGACTTGGAGAGTTCTTTACTGTCAGATGGTCAGCAAGGGAGAAGCACCTTGTCCCCAATGGACAGATGGGCCATTGCTGGCTCTGGGGAGGAGCAGAAGCCCAGTGCACCTGAGGAGCACACTCAAAGCAATGATCTGTTAGGACAGATAGCTGAGCTGACACTGCAGAACTCTGTTATCAAAGCTCAGCTGAGCAAATTCAGAGATCGCTCTCAAGAGGCAGGGGATGGCCTGCATCAGCCAATTACAATGCAAAATATGAACACTAGTTTAGGATCAGCCATGCAGGGACAGGTAAGAACGTAAGAGAAGGTAAAGATTGGGTTGTCCTTCATCCCCCATCTCCATTTCCCACAAAGTATTGATTTTTTTTTTTTTTTTGGGTATCAGGTTTGGGTCTCTCTCTCTGGCACTGTAAGGGAGCGAGTAAAAGAACTTGTTTGTGTGTGGGGAGGTCTCTCTCTCTTTTTTTTTTTTTTTTTAAACCTCATCCTGTCTTTGAGCTAGCTTGACTCCCTCATCTTCCAATTTTCCTTTAACTGGAGATTGCAACTGCAGTTCCTCATGTGAGGCCATGATAACAATGCAAGCAGCCTTTTGGAAGGTGGAAGTCAATGCTGTCTGCATGCTGGCGAGTGAAGGATGCATGGCAGACTTAAAAAGCCTTACTCTCTTGTTGCATGTAAGCCAGATTGGCTTAGCCTTAATGTCTGTGGGAAAGAGAAGCCTTTGTTTACACTAGGAAAATTGGGACCTGGAATTGAGCTGCAATGCTGGTTAGTGTAGACAGGCCACTGCTTTGAGTAGCAATAGAGAACACACACACCTGAAGCCTGCCTCCACTACAGCCTTGACTCATGTTACCATCAGTGGAGCTGCATTGCTGGTGAACCAGGGGTCCTAATTTTCCTTGTGTAGTTGTAGCCTAAGGGCTTAATTCTCCATTGTCTTACACAGTGTCTAGTTATTTACAGCTGTACGAAGCGGGTATAGAACTGTAGTACATCAGAATGGTCATATTACCCTCAGTTTGCACTCTGTGTGTGTGGTTTCTCTCTCTCTCTCTCTCTCTGATTTATATAAGTTTGAAACTTCCAAATTTATTTTGTTTGTAATGATTTGTGTTAGACTTTGCCAGAAGTATCAAAGAGCTTGGAGGAACGAATAACAGAGCTGAACCGCCAAAGTGCAGAAGCCCGTGGTAAACTGCTACAGCTGATAGACCAGCAAAAATTGGCCACTGTCAACCCTATCTCTCCACCAGTATCGCCTATTTTACCTCCCCCCATAAATTGGACTGGTATGTAGTCCCTTTTTTTTCCTTTTTTTTCTCCACAGTAAGGTATTTACCTTTGTACCTACTACCTTCAGTTGACTAAATCAGCAATTCCCAAACAGTGTGGTCAACAGTGCACTTGCTGACAATCCACTGAAAGCTGTCTGGTCATGTGGTGTAGGGGCTCCTTGTTTACAGCAACTAAATTTCATTAAGACAGGTAAAAATACATCAGCTAACATTTTCCTAAAGTTACTTTTATATGTAATTAATTGCTGCAGTTGTGTCATTGCCTGCTGTATTCACTCTTCATCATGCTAATGTCCATAGAGCCACTACAATGAGTTTGTTAGCCTGCTTACAGTTTGGGTGCAGAACTAGACTTGTCAGTCATGGGCAGCAAGGGAATGCCTCCCCTCCCCTCGTTCTGCTTCCACAGTGGGAAGCAGCTTGACGAGGCCTCCTTTTTGCAGAGCTTCTCTGAGTGAAAAGTCCAATATTTTATTTCAAATTTCTCATTAAAAATCCCACTCAGTAATTTGGTCATCTGATTCTTAGTCGTGTCCCAGGGCTATCTGCCTTTTGAGATGTCTCTCTCCTTAGGTCTGGTTCCTTGCTGAGGACCTGCAGGATCCTCTGAGATGATTAAACTGTATGGCACACTAGAGAATAGTCAGTGCAGAATTTATTCTTCCCTGCTAGTTCAAGCTTCATGGATTAGCTACCATGCTTTTTTTTTTTAAACTGTCCTGCAGATTTAGGACAACTTAATCCTTTCTTGAAGTGAAATGGCAAGCAAACTGAGGAAGGGGAAAAGGCCATTAGGTAACAAACCACTGAAAAACCATAAAGGCTAGAACTCAAAGGGTGTGTGTGGGGGGTGGGGGGGAGAACAGTGCCTAGCACAATGGGATCCTGATCCCTGATTAGAGTCTGTCAGTGCCATTGCAATATTAATACAAATAGTAAACTAAGAAAATGGAGAAGTAAAGACATAAAACAGACAGAAATGAAAGATACTAAATAATTCATGCATGGAGGGGTTACTGCACCTTCACCAGAATTGAGCAATATTCCCTTACTCTCTAGAAAATGAAAAGAGGACAATTGAGGTGTCTGTTCCAGTGGCAGAAACTATGGACCACTCCAAAGGAGATACTCCTTCCCCTGCGAGTGGGGCCAGTGTAAGAAGGTAAAACCAACTAATTAGATTGTTTGAGTGGGTGACAAACAAATGGTGGGAGAGTTTTTCCTACTGTGTTAAATTACCATATTCTCCCAGGTATGATTGGCATTCTATGGTTTCATTACAGTCTAATCTGTAGAGATGGGAAATGGACTGTAACAGGGTAGCAAGTGTCTTCTGTTGAGCTCACCCTGTTAGCAAGTGTTGGAATCCTCTTGGGAGATTGACTGACTGATCCCTGCTGACTTTGTGGAAGGTGTAGCTTGTTAACTCTTACCTACTATAGAGACTGAAGGGGTTCTTCTGTCACTGTAGGAAATCCACCTCTGCAAGAGGTGGTAGCTACGTCAATGGAAAAAATCTTCCATTGACCTCGTAGTGCCTACACTGGGGCTTAGTTTAACTTAATACATTGCACAGGGCATGAAATTTTTCACAGCCTAGCTCTGTAGTGTAGACCAGCCCCGAGGAATTAATATGGCAAGCAGGCAATGTGGTGTAAGAGTGGGCAGTGAAACTCTTGTGACAACGAAATTGGGTAATACTTTAAAAACAAAAAAACCCTGGAATTTAGTTGTTTGGGTTAGAGATGAAGATTTCCCCCCTCATTATAACAAAGGAGGATGTTTCCATTTCAGTAACTTTTCAATACTTGCAGTTGGCATAACAGTGCTGCTTGTGACAAAGATTTAAGTGGTTTGTTGGAGGCTGTTGATGTAGATACCAGACACATGTCTCTGATCTTGTATTAGTGTTCGCTTCCTCCTTCTCTTTTCCACCTCACCTCACATGCGTATAGATCTACGGGTGCCTCTAGCAAGACTTGTTCTCCATTAAGTACCACTTCGGGAAGTATGAAATTGACACCTGTCAATCAGAGGACAAAGGTACGACTTAAATAAGGCTGCATGTTAGCATTCTCTTCAGCTATGGGCTTTCACTGCTGTGTTCTACATATGTATTGAGGATTCTAGACACATACTGGGGTGGATTCTGCTCTGTTTATACCAGTGTCAGTCCAGAGTAAATCAACTGAAGTAAAAAGCTACTCTGATTAAGAACAGAAATCCGAATCGGGGCAGCATGCAGGGGACACTCTTGCAGTGTGTTAATGTAACTAGTCACTTGCCTCTAGAGGCTTGGGTTAAAGCACTACAAGATACAAATGAAGTACAGTAGAACCTCAGAGTTATGAACTGACCAGTCAACCACACACCTCATTTGGAACTGGAAGTACGCAATCAGGCAGCAGCGGAAACAAAGAAAAGCAAGTACAGTACAGTACTGTGTTAAATGTAAACTACTGTGCAGAAGAAAAATGCTGCTTTCCCTTTATTTTTTTTAGTAAAGTTTCAAAGCTGTATTAGTCAATGTTCACTTTTGAAAGAACGACCATAGCTTGTTCAGAGTTACAAACATCCTCCATTCCTGACGTGTTCGTAACTCTGAGGTTCTCCTGTAATGCTAGGACTGTATTCTCCCAGTGGACATTTGTGCACATTATCCAACCACCACAGAATTTGGTACCTATGACAGTCTGACTAGATTTCAGATTAGCAGCCGTGTTAGTCTGTATCCATAAAAAGAAAAGGAGTACTTGTGGCACCTTAGAGACTAACAAATTTATTAATGCATAAGCTTTCATGAGCTACAGCCCACTTCATCGGATGCATCCGATGTGAAGTGAGCTGTAGCTCACGAAAGCTTATGCTCTAATAAATTTGTTAGTCTCTAAGGTGCCACAAGTACTCCTTTTCTTTTTAGTCTGACTAGAAACAACCATTGACTGAAAAAGCAAACAGGGTTTCAAGTAAAGACTGAGATACATTTGTAAGAGCCATAGGCGGGGTTGGGAGGCTGGCAAGCTTGCACAGAACCTACTTGGCCTGTCCATGGCATTAGTCTCGTGCTGTCAGTAACTCTCATTTAACGAATGTTAAATTTTTTTCCAAACTTAAAGAAAAATGGTCAATCTAGATTTCCAGCATCCTGCTGAGGGTGAGATTTCCTTCAAAGCTTCCTTGTTTAACAGGAAGAAAAGGAACACTCTAGAGTAACACTATCTGCTGGGCCATTGTCTGATCAGCATTTGTATTTTTGGGAGATGTCATAGTGCTGATAGCAGAAAGAGAAGTTATCATAGTAGTAGTCATATAGTGGGAAGCTAGAGGATCTGTAGAAGCTGGTAATAACTGGTAAGCTTGTGGGAGTGAAAGGACTGTACGAATCTCACTTCAGTTCCTCTTCCTACCCCTCTGTCCCACAGGTGGAGAGGCAAAGAGAAGAAGGCTGGTTTGCACTATCAATGCATATCATGTAACTGAAGCTGAATCGCATAGACTCTATTTTATATTTATTTTTTTGTGACCCACCGGTAGGTTTCTGTAGTCCCTCTCCCCAAAACGTGAATTTTAACTCTCAAAGTGCCTACTTGTCAGTGCCACTAGTATACAGAGGTCCATAAGCTTATTATGTTTATGCTCTCCTTCAGAGTAATGCATTTGCAATTATAGCCTGGAGAGTGGGACACACAAGGTGGGAATGGAATGTAACAGTCCAGTCCCTATTGGATGAAGAGGACCTAAATTGGGGCTGATTTTTATACCATTTCTATACCTCAATAATGCATCCGCCAACATTAGACATGCTGAAGAAAGGGGCTTCTGGAGAAGAGACCATTTTTTCATGCACCAGCTCAGATACATGTCAGCACAAGATAAGGAAATAAATAGGACAATCCAGTTGACAAGAGCTGTGTGTGTTACGGAACAGTTTGGAATACCATTGGTGAATCAATTTGTGGAGTCACTCTGAAGGACTTGCCTCAGAAATAAACCAGTTCCTTATGCTTCGAGTGTGGTGACTGGTTTATGGAAGCTATCTTCTTGTACAAAGAGAATCCTCTTGTCTGAAAGTCATGACCACAACACCACAGAGGCAGCTACTGTTTTGACTTCTGGCTTCCAAACTATCCCCCAGCCTCACATCACAACTCCAGTCTTACTGCTTCTGTGCCACAGTGAGCAGCTCTTTTGTGCAGCCCTGTTCTGAACTCTGGGGCTGAGCAGGATTTTCCTTTACATGTGGGGATATGTTTAAAGGAAAGAATACCTTCCTTTTTCCAGATTCTGCTATAACCGTCACCATTTTATATGGTTTTTTGATTGATTAATGACCAAAGGCTGCCACTGACTTACAATATAGGGCCTGATCAGATGGCATACATTCTGTTTTCCCTAAGTTAATATAAATGGATCCTTTCTGGTTCAGTTTCTCTCCTTTACCTGCCCCCCCACCCATGTTGTGGTAATTAGGTGCTCCTTCCTCAATGTGAGAAATTTCTTAATACTTTAGGGCATCCAGGTGAGCGACTGGATTGCTCCATAGTTCATCTCTTTGTCACCCTCTAACTTTTTCATTTCTAGTACCTTATTTTCCATCTCCTAGGTGGGCCAGGCAATTAAATGCTGTTTAGTCAGGACAAAGTCCTAAAATCTGGTGCTTTGTGTCGTAAGCTAGCATGTCACATCTTTGTATATTTTCAAACATCTATTCAATATAGAACTATATTATAAGACAGGTATAAGCCCTTCAGGTCTCAGCATGTTCCATAGATCCATTTCAATTTCTTAAGATGGAAAGAATTAGAGTATTTTATGAGACGATCCTCTGCTCTTAATTCTGCTCATCCTTCCTCTGTTCTAGGTGGACTGATTGCTGCGCCCATCTGGTATGATGTAAAAATGGAGGATTTGCTGTATATAGGGAATAGACTATTTAAAAATACTATAAATCTCCCCTCCTAACAGGGAATCCTCTGTTCTGGCATTTCCCTCCTTATACACGTTTTGAATGTTTCTAGGATTTAAAAGCTACGAACACTTCTCAACTAGGGCTGCAATGTGTTTTATAGAGGGATCAGTTCAAAAAAATCTGAGAGCATTAGCTGCCTCTGGTCTTGGAGCATGGCTAACCCATCAGTTATGACTTCCAGACTTGAAGATTCCTTGTTTTAGGAAGACATTTATGGTAAACTTTAAAATGTCTAATTCAGGTTGTAACTCTTACCTCCAGGCCCTTGGTCTCTGATACAGTAATGAACTACATGGAGTACTATACCCAAGTGCTGGTGCAGCTATGTTAAATTATTTTGGGTCCTGTGAGAATGTATAATCCAGGGGCTGTGATCTTGTACAGGTTTATTTGATATTTTATGTATCAATTTTTAATTTTAATGATAAACTGTAAATAAAATCCAATAATCAGAGGATGTGCATAGCTCTTCATTTTGTTATGTAACTGTAGCAACCTCTATAGTAAAGAATGAAAAATAGTTTCTGTGATAAGCCCCAGTTTTCAGACTTTTTTTTAACTTCTTGGGGCTGAAGTTTTCCATGCTTGGTGTCTCCACACAGAAAATCCTGCCTGAGTGCACAGTACAAGCAAAATCCTTTAACTGTTTGAGTTTTAAGAGAATGGAGAAATGTGTTTTTCCCTTTTTTTAATTGTTGCTGGGTACATTTTTGGGGGGAGGGAGATATTCCATAGAAACAATAGACTCTCTAAACGTGGGATTTGGTATGTACTGATCAAATGTCCATTGTAATCTACAGGAGACCTTTACTGTTGACTATATCAAGGGGTGCTGAATCAAGCCCTTAGGCCTTGCACTTTGTTAAACTTCATTAAAGCTAGCTGTTAAATGACAAAGTTAAGACTGTTGGAAAATTCATCCAGGCTGATGCACAGTGGGGATCAGTTGTAGATGGGCTGCATATCCATGCACATCCATGATAGCTCTATTATTGCTGAATTGTTCCAAACCAATTCACTCATTACAAATGTTCCAGCGTATCTATTAGGGTGGGGTGAATGATCCTCTTGCTAATCTGTTGGCCCAGTTTCTTACCTACCCAGGTCATCTAACCCTGCTCACAGTAGGTCTAAAAAAGCTCTTGGGTCTTAAAGTCCAAACAGCAAGATTTCTGGGGTGAAATCCTGTTCCCACTGAAATCAGTGGCAAAACTTCCAGTGATCTCAGGAGGGCCACATGTGCTCTCAAAAGTCAGCAATTTACTAAATGTCCCTGTGTTTGTCTCAGAGTTGGTCATGTCCCTTGCAACTGCCTTGGGATGTCTCTTTTTTTTTCTGTCTGACACCACAGCGTAGCCTGAGGTACTCAACACCGCTCATCTGGTCTGAAAACTGGCTGCAACTGTGATTTAGGAGAATTGTTTGCTCAACTGCTGGAACCCCTCATAACAGTGTAAGGCTGTCACTGTGCAGAGAGTTCAGTGCCCTCATATGCCAATGGATGGGGATACTCCTGGGGGAATTGTGTGCCACTGCGTGTGCGCAGAATTCATATCCCCTGCAGATTTCTTTGCTTCCCTGCAGAAAAATGACTTTCTGACAGGGAAGCTGCAAGAGCAGTCATGCACCACTCCCTAGCTGCGCAGGTACATCATTTCAGGCAGCCAGCAGAGAGGCAAATCACTGCAGGGCTGGGAACACCCCAGCCAGTGGCTCCTACCCTGAGCTGAGATTAGCTGCTAGTAAAAGCTGGGCTGGAGGCAGAAGAGGATGGGACTTCCTCTTCCTCTGCAAGGAGTGGCTGGGGATGTCAGATCCACCCCCCCATAATCTCCCCCAGCTGCAGGAAGCTCAGCATCCTCCCCTGCTTCCTGCCTCCATTGCTCCTCAGCTTTTGGGGGAGGGGTCACTGTAGGGGGAGCTTGCTCCCCCATTCACTCAACCCCTGTGCATCCAGGCTCCCCCATTCACTCAACCCCTGTGCATCCAGGCTCCCCCCCCAGACACCCCCACCAAGCCTCACACCATTTACCCCCTAACCCTCCATACCCAAACCTCCCTCATAGAACCTCAAGTCCTGCATCTGGAGCCCCCTGCACCCAGACACCTGCCTCTGGCCCCCCACCCCTGCACCCAGACTACCCCACACTGAGCTCCCTGCACTTAAACCCCCACCCTGATGAGCTGTACCACCCTGAGCCCCCATCTGCTGACCCCCCAATTAGCTGCATCCAGATTCCTGCCCCACTCCCCCAGCAGCCAGACCCCTCCGCTGAGCCCCAACCACCTTCATCTGGAAGCCCCTGCAGAGTCCCATTGCCCCTGCACCTAAAACCCTCCCAACAAGCCTCTGAGCGTCCAGATCCCCCCACAACTAGACCCGCCCACTGAGCTGCCTGCACCCAGATTGTACCACACAGAATCCTTTCACCCCACACCTGGATCCTTCCACATTTGGATCATGCCTGGTTGAGCCTGCCTGCCCCACACCTGGTGCAGAGGGGCAGGACCCCAGGGTGTTTCTGGGGCAGGGGCAGGCCCAGGCCTTGTGCTGTGTCAGGATCGGGTGCAGCCTCACCACTGAGTCTGTGCCCTCTGGGTAGGGGGTGGGGAGGCCTCCAGGTGATCTCCCACCTTCATGCAGCCAGTGCTCCCCACTGCCATGCTGGACCATCTGCATTTATTTATTGACATATAAAACTGGCAGAATTTCGAAGTACTGTGTATAGTTTTTAATTTTTTGGTGCAGAATGCCCTCAGGAGTGTGGGAGAAGGCAGAGTAGCCAGTGCTGACATCTTAATCATTTTCTCTACTGAGCTCTCAATTTTGGACCACGCAATAGAGTGTAGCTGTCACCACTAGTGCACACATCTTACGTTTGTAATATGGTATACTGGTGAAAGGAGTCTCTGGATGGAGCTGATACGGATTTTACTGTGTTGAATAGAATCAGACTTACTCCCATCTAGTCCGTCTCCGGAGGGGTCAGTACAAGGCCACCTTTTGACAATGTGTTTCTGTTTTCATATAAGAAAAACGGTGGAAATGTTTCATTTTTCCCCAGACCTTTCAACTTCCTCCTTTTGTCTTAAATGCAATATTCTGCGGAATGACAGAGCCGCAAGCCACAGTGAACACAAAATCAGAGACTGACCGAGGAGAGCTCCTTTGCCTCGATCTGTTAGGAATGTGTTAAGTAGAGCTGGTCAACATTCTTCAACTGAAAAATTATCTAATTGGAAAACATGGCAAAATATTTCATGGAAAAAAATGTTGGGTTTTTTTCTTTTCAATTTTCTGACCAGAAAAATTCTAAACTACGTCTATTTGGAAGGAAAATGTTCATGTTTCATTTTTGACTTCTGGATTTTTCAGGGGTTTTCCTATCTCTCCCCTTTTTGTTTTTGTTTAAAAGTGTAAAGTGCTTTCTCCCCCCACCCAACTCACTTTCAAACTATTTTATGTTCTCTTCCCCGTACTTTTCCGGTGGGGGGAAAAGAAGTGAAAGTAGGAGAGGGAGGCAGACCAGCAATCCTGAAACTGGGAAAGCCAGAACTCTTCGGTTTCTAGAAACCCAAATACTGTTAAGTCAAAAAGAAACTAAAGTTTTCATTATGGTTTGACATTTTGAAACAATTGTTTTCATTTTGTTTTAAAACCTTGGTATTTTTCAGTTGAAAAACTTCAAGGAAACTTACCTATGAATTCTTTAGTGGTGTAAACAGGGGCTTTCTGCCAAGGCAGTGAGTTGCTGTCATTCATGTTGCCCAAGTACGCATTATGTATTAGGGGCTTCACTGCAGTACTTTCCAAAAGGGTGATATCCCCTTCTCACAAGTCCCAGTAGTGACAGAGGCTTTTGTCAAGAGGCCAGGAACCTTCCCAGCTATAAAAGTAAAGGAACCAGGTCTTCTCCTACTGTAGTCTGAAGAACACAGACTAGGGTTTGCATGTGCAGAGACACAGATGGGCAGGCAGAGATGTGGGGGACGGACACAAAGCAAGATCTAATCTGAGGAGTTTTTCCCTAATGCTGTTAACCTGTTATAAGAAGGGAGAGATCTCGCAAGTTCCACAATGTAGGAATAAATAGAGGGAAGGGGAGATTTTTAATAAACTGCATTTTATAAATACAAATGACAATAGCTTATCCCCAGAATCAGCACTACTGAATACTTTAAATTAGACAAAATACCCTTAAAACCCTGCGTTGGCACAGCTGCACCGCTGTAATGCTTTAATGGAGATGCTGTAAGCCGACAGGAGAGCGCTCTCCCATTAATCCAGCTCTCTGAGAGGCTGTAGCCACGTCAGCGGGAAAAGCTCTCCTGCCAACGTAGCGCTGTCTACGTGGGGGGTTAGGTCGGTATAAGTACGTCCCTCAGAGGTGTGGGTTTTTTTCACACCCTTGAGCAATAGGAGTTACACCAGTATCGGCCTGTAGTGTGGCCCAGACCTTAGGCTGGGATTTTCAGTGGCGTCTAAGGCGGGGCTACGCTACAGAATTACTTGGGTATAACTACAGTCGTTCAGAGCTGTGAAAAATCCACACCCTTGAGTGACGTAGTTATACCAATGAAAGCACCCGTGTAGACAGCGCTATGTTGGCGGGAGAGCTTTTCCTGTTGACACAGCTACTGCCTCTTCTGGGGGTGCATTAACTATGCCCGTGGGAGAGCTCTCTCCCGGCGGCTTAGAGTGTCTTCATTCGAGTACTACAGTGGTGCAGTCGCAGCGGTGCAGTGTGCTGATGCCACGTTGTAAGTATAGACCTGCCCTCAGGTAGTTAGGTGCTTAAATCCCATTGCCATTCAGTGGGAGCTGGATGCCTTGCTCCTTTGAACATCCCATCCTCAGACGGGTCGGCAAAAGGCATGTTGTAGATAATGAAACACAGCCAAACAGCCTTATTTGTAATGGTTGAACTCTCAGCCATACAGTTTTGAACATGCACCTTGAGTGCCCAGATCCTCTCTTTGGCTGTTGCAACCAGCAGTTAGGTACCTAACTGCCATTTATATGCGACTTTGAGTACCCAGAGACAGGATTTAGACACTATTACAGTAGCTATGTTTGAAAAATTGACTTGTGTACATTAGAGGTGAACAAAGGTGTGTTCATCCACTGCTTCTTGTTTTGTGCCTCTGAAAGTTTTAACAGTCACTACTGCCAACATTGTGCATGTCTACAAATGAGGAATTACACACACCAATGCAAAAGCTGGATGTGTTGTTCTGTAGACCGTGTGTGTACTGTTTCAAGGCAACTAATTCATTTTTAAGCCTTCTGTTTAGTGACCAAGATGTTAACTTTGAACCTGACACAGACAGAGCTACAAACGTGGGTGTGTATACACAGACAGACATGCTGATAAATATTTTCTAGCTGTGTGTAAATTGTACCAAATGGACACTTTTTAGACACATTGATTTGTGACTATTTGATTTTGGGGTT